CTTGACATTCATGTTTAACATCATTAGAAAAAAAAACACGTTTTTGATGAAACAGGTCTCCTACATTCTATATCCTTGGGATATTTGGAAGAGGCGTTATAGTTAAAACAACAGTTTTGTTAGTTTGAACTTGTGTATACAGGAGGCTCAGGCTCCCTCTGGTGGTCATAATGTCTTACTGTTTCTATTAAAAAAATGTAGATGATAATGTTGAAGGGAGCTCTGGTAGCATAGTGCCTAAGGCACTTGACTACTAACCAGAAGGCTGGCGGTTCAAACCCACCAGCCACTCCTTGGAAGGAAGATAGGGCAATCTACTTCCGTAGTGATACTGCCTCAGAAACCCAAGGAGGGGTCGTTATGAGTAGGGTCCAACAGCACATAACAACAACAACAACAATGTTGAAAGGATAAAGAGATATTCCCATTCAACACAAAACAGAAACCTGGTGCATTAAGATTTAACATGAAACCCCTGGAATTGACTCATAAGCTATACTCAAACGTCAGTTGTTGAGCCTTAATGGCTTCTGAGAGCTTCTTTAATTCTGAGAGTGGGTGTAGAAAAAAGGAGAAGAAGGTTAAGACTAACCCTGTATCTTCTAATTATATTTTTCTTTCCACTCAGGTATATGATGGAGAATTACTAGGATATCTTTTAAGTGCTTTGAATTAACAAAGAATTTTTATAAACTTAAGACTTCTTAATATAGTTTTAACTCTAAATTTCCTTTTAGAGCAATGGTCAGTTATAAAGATCACAAAAATAATTGTCAAATATTGCCATATTTATTTCTTTTTAGTATAATATAGTATAGGAAGTACAGTATATATTATAGTATATTATATATATGCATATATCATAGTATAGGAGCTCTGGTGGTGTAGTGCCTAAAGCATTTGACTGCTAACCAGAAGCCTGGCAGTTCAAAACCACCAGCCACTCCTTGGAAGGAAGGTTGGGCAATTTACTTCCATAATGATACCACCTCGGAACCCCAAGGAGGGGTTGCTATGAGTCGAGTCTGACTTGACGGCACATGACGACAACCACAACAACATATCATAGTATAATATTTTAAGTAACATAATTGGAGAATTTGGGGAATGTATAGATGTCCCTCTGTGGCACAAATGGTTAAGCACTCTACTACTAACCCCAGGGTTGGTGGCTTGAAGTCACATAGAGGCATCTTGGAAGATAGGCCTTGCACTCTGTTTCCAAAAGGTCACAACCTTGAAAACCCTATGGAGCAGTTCTTCGTACTCTGTGCTTATAGGGTCACCATGAGTCAGACTTGAGCAGATGGCAGTCCACAGCAACAAAATGAGATGACCATGTGGAGTGATGAGGTTTAGCCCTTTGGAGTTTTGGGAAATGTTTTCTTACTTTAGGCTTTTGGAGGAAGGGAAAATTATTTCCAAATAATGTTTCATGAAACTAATTTCTTGAAAAAATGAATATTAATTTAAAGTGGGGCATTTGTATAAAATGTAGATGAGGATGCTTTTGAAAAATATTGGACTAATATTTGAGTACATGTTTATTTTTTATATATGTCATATCTAGCTCTGGTGGCATAGTGCTTAAGGCATTTGACTGCTAACCAGAAGGCTGGTGGTTCAAACCCACCAGCCACTCCTCTGAAGAAAGGTTAGGCAACCTACTTCTGTAGTGATACTACCTCAGAAACCCAAGGAGGGGTCGCTATGAGTCAGATCCAACTCAACAGCAGTGAGTTTGGTTTTTTGGTTTATAGATAACTCAGGGCTGTATTTCCTTAGGGATTTCTTTGCAGAGTACAAATAAACATCTGCATAATTAAAGGTTTTTAATTAAGAAAAATGTCTGTTAAAATTCTATAGCTTTCTAAATCCACAAAATGATGTTGAGCTGGAGATCATGAATTCATCCTAAATTATTAAGTGTGTGAAGATGCAGGCATAAAAATAATACATTCCTCATTAGCATGTAGCTTGAGTTTACATTTGTAAAATCACAGGTGGTCTAACAATCGGAGGAAATTTGCATTTGATATTTCAGCTTTGGAACTTTTCCCTGCCTTAAAGCTGCTTGAAACTGCTGGCCATTTCAGAATTCTATTCAGTTAAAAATGACTTTTATCGTGCTTTAGAATTTAAAGATAGATAGTAATTCTTGAATCATTTAGGCCCAATATATATGGCTGGAAGGACTGATATTCTCATTCATGTTAAGATAACATTTCTGCTGATTCTTCAGAGATGAGAATGAAAGACATCTCCTATGAAGTAACAACAATAGTAAATATTTTAAACATGAAAATATCTTTTTTTTTTTCCTGATAATTGAGGTAAGAAATTCTCTTGGCTAAAAAAAAAATCAGAAAAGATAGAAAAGTATGAATAAGAAAATAAAATCACCTGTAGTTCCAGCATTTAGAAATATTCACTGTTATCAGTTTTTTATATATTATTCATGTTCACCATCTCTTACCCTCTTTGTACTAGGTCTGATGTGGTGGTGTGAGGTGCATATCCTCCTTGCCCTCATTGCCTTTTCTTATCCTTCTCTGAAAGCACACAGCTTTGAATCTATGCCATCAAATTATATCACTTACTGCTCCTCCTTGCAGCTGTCATCATCTGTGCGTTTGGGTCAGTTTCCCTCATTCTTCTAAGATTTAGTTCCTGCCTCACTGTTTCTCTCTCCAACACTATTTCAACAGCCACATAATGGATCTTAACAATAAATTGGCCTCTCAGTTCCTTTACCCAACTAACTTCCAAGGTCATACACTAGACTGGGGTTTTCAACTGGGGACAGTTTTGTCCCCCAGGAGACATTTGACATTGTCTGGAGACATTTGTAGTTGTTACAACTGAGAATGTGCTACTGGCATCTAGTGGCTAGAGGCCAGGGGTGCTATTAATCATCCTACAATGCACAGGACAGTCCTCCACCACAAGAATTAACCAACCCAAAATGTCAATGGTGCTGAGGTCGAGAATTCTTGCTATATCTTGAAGCTAGCGAACACCCTCATTATTGCACCTTCCTGAAGTTAGAATGATTATCGCAGAATAGCTTCCTAACCTAGATATCATGTACTACTTTAGATTCTCAGATGACCTTCTCTAAGAATCAAACTCTGGGGTATAGTAGTAATTGAACTGTCTTTCTCTGGGAGTGGAGTCATAGCTTAGTGTATTTTAATATTAGCACTTTTTCTAACAGCATCAATTAATGAATTAACATATTGTCTTATGATTCAGATTGGCTAAATGCAAGAGTCCATAGAGGAAGTTCTTGCAATGAATCCTTTCTTGAGGGTTTTTCTTTTTAATTAAAGATATAATTTTATTCTTACAGTGAACAAATCTACATTTAACAGTGCCCCACTTCATGTCTGAGACCAAGTCTTCATCTTCTGCTCCCTATTTACCATGCTTGACTTATTTTGAGTT